GGCTGTGTGATTCCCCCGGGGAGCTGAGCCCTGGAGTGGTGCAGATCAGCCATACAAAGCCCAATCTTCTCCCGGCTCTGTAGATGGGGATGGCAGTCCTCTATAGAAGTGAAGACAGGAGCAGGCGGCGATCTTTGCTCTGGGAGTGTGCCTTGTATTCCTGCCAATGTACAGCAATGCTAGGTGTGTGCGGTGTGACAAAGGAGAGGCCACAGGACGACGACTATGTGCCGATCACATCGCCCGGACAGCTGCAAGTGACAGGGACTGCTGCCGCTCCATAGTAATCCAATATCTGCGGCTGGACAACGAGGAGACAGAGATAACTAACTGAAGAAAGTCATTGGAGGATTCCATGTCACAGCGATCTCCCCTGGACTGCCATCCATCCGCAGCGTCCCTGACACCCGACCTGCGTACACCTCCGCACAGACGCTGACAGTCCGATCTATAGTAATGGCACGGACATTCCTGGGATTCTAGGGACAGATCCCGGCCGCACTGTGTTCCTACATATCCTATTTATATCGCATTCGGATCTAAACTTAGATGTAGTCTACAGAAAGGAGGCTGAAGGCTGGAGACCATCCACTTCCTATAGAAGGACGGAGGAGGCTACACAGAGAGGAGAACCTCATCCAACATACAGAGGAGGAGTGAACATCCCACTCATCTACACAAAGCTTGAGGGAAGACCTTCCACCTACTCACTGAAGGATTGTCCTTCCCACCTACACACGCGTATGAAAGAGGGTCTTCCTCTCATCTCTGCTAAACCAGAGAAGTCTACATCCAAGGAGAGGATCCTATAGACAAGGTGAACTTCTCTATGCAACCTTCAAGAAGATCCTATAGACAAGGTGAACTTCTCTATGCAACCTTCAAGAAGATCCTATAGACAAGGTGAACTTCTCTATACAACCTTCAGGAAGACCCTATAGAAAAGCTGAACTTCTCTATGCAACCTTCAAGAAGACCCTATAGACAAGGTGAACTTCTCTGTGCAACCTTCAAGAAGATCCTATAGACAAGGTGAACTTCTCTGTGCAACCTTCAAGAAGATCCTATAGACAAGGTGAACTTCTCTATACAAACTTCAAGAAGATCCTATAGACAAGGTGAACTTCTCTATACAACCTTCAAGAAGATCCTATAGACAAGGTGAACTTCCCTGTGCAACCTTTAACTTGAAGCAGATCTCCAAAATATCAACCTTTTAAGTGAGAAGAATCACATCACTTATTGAAATTCTCAGATCTCCATACAAGTCCCAAACTTTCACTGAAGCTTTGTAACAACAACTTCAGCCCCAGTTGGCATCAACATCTCAGAAGGGATTATGCTGGAGATGACCTCCCTCCTCCAGATGGGTTAAACTCACCAATGGTTACCATGAGTTATGGGGAAACAAATCTAGCAGGCATTTTTTCCAGCTGCATAGAGAACTGGCTTTGTGAACTTGAAATGCTATAAAACGCCCACAGGTGGTTAGTACCAACGGCACCGCCTTCATCATCTTCATAGAAGTTTCCTGCACCTCAATGTGCCTGGTCCTCTGGAGATATATCCAATTCTTGCTGTGATCATCACTCAGAGATGACCTTAGTGTTCTCATGGCTCCTGCAGTAAATGTGTATGCAGTGCTCTGAGCCCAGGACACAGCAATGAACCTAAGATTTCTTCTGACATCCAGACATCTTCTCTGGATCCTCATAGGTAAGTGTCTTATCATCATTGTGTACCTTAGTGTCTGATTGTGTACTAGCTGTTCACACTGACGTTGCATTAGACATGCGTTTTGGCAAGGTTTAATATAATTGCTTATAATTATCCTCACGTTAGGTTGTTAGTTTCCTTGAGATGTTTCAGGACAACCAAGTATTAAACATGCTAAAAAGTGGTTCACTCGCACCCAGTAAGAATTTCCATATCTTTCAGGGTTTTAGGTACCAGGTAAGTAAAATAATACATTTCATGTGGCTTAATTGTGTCATGATTGTATTTATTTTGCAAATTTCTCTAAAGCTATACATCTTTACTAACTGGTCAACTGCAAAGAAAAAAATCCTTAGTACAGAGTTTCCAAATTGGATCCTCCAGGGGTACCTTAGTGAAGTATACAATGAGCTTTGTTTCATTGTGTGTGCATTTTTTTTATTTAAATCTATTGCTGCAAGGTTAATGGAAATTGCTTGACACCATATATAGGGTTCAATTAATTATGTAGTAAGGGATGAAATGTACTGTAGACGGCTCCCTTGTGTCATGCCTAGGGTCTTTTGAACATGCATTTTGCTTTAAAGCAAGTCCTGGTTGCACCAAATTTTGTGATCACCTTCAGTTTTAGTGAACCCTACCGCAGCTTTCCAGTCCATGCAGAGTATAGAACTCCAAGGAACATGACACAGGTCCTAGTGGTGGCCTCATGCCTGGATGCTTTCTGGTAAGTGTCACCAATTTCAGGCAGCACACAAGTGATGGAGCTGATCAAGGCAACCTACCTACCCACCTACAGTGTGGATAAAAAGTGCTAGTGGTAGATTTCCTTTAACCGTTCAGCTATTTGTATGATTTAAATCACGAAATACTTCAGCGTGTCTGAAAGTATGAAGATAGTTGTATAAGACAGTTGTATTATAGCACCTTGACAAAGCTTGAAGAGTGGCCACCAGTTCATTCCATTTTCTCTGCTCTTAAGGGTCAGAGTTATGAAAAATATTGTATTTTGATGACTGCACGTGGAAGAATGTACAGAAAAGGATAGTATTCAAGCTATACGTTCCTTTATTCCTGTTTCAATAAGTTATTGAACACGCCTTTATTGATATTTTTTGCACATTTTTATGCAGGACAAGCAAATATAACATACATGCATAAATAAATAAATAAAAAAAATAAATCCTGTAGCAATATCAATGGTTGGGAAAATATAAAGCTGCCAGAGGTGCTTGAGAAGTTGCAGCATTCACTTTATTTCTTCAAGAAAAGATGAAGAAGATAAAAGGTGGCCATGTGTAAGCACCCCTGGCAGTGTTTTAGTTTGTCCCAACCCCACTCATTCCCATTTTGTTGAACAATTTGGTCTGGATGCGAATATTGAGAAAAATATACCTAAAGGCATGTGGAAAAAAAAAAGGTATCAATATACTAAATCTAACATTACCATAACCATATACTAACCACATTTATTTATCAGAATACTATACCTGGAATTCATAAAGAGTGACACTGTCTCATCCATGCAACAAATGAAGCTTGCGTCAGATTCATGTAACTGTTGATAAGATGTAAATGAATCTGTCGCAGAATTGCCTCAGACAGAATTCTGCCTCATACAGACCTATGTGTGTTGTACAATACTTACACGAGCAACACAATTTACTCCAACATTCAGCCCAGGTTCACACTGATGTGGTGCGGCACATCGCATGTGATTCGCATAGGAACCGTACCGCATTCCTGTGCAATTCACATGCAATTTCTGTGCAGTGCAATTTGAGCCATACATTTTGTATGGCTCAAATTGCAACACATCCACAGCAAAAAAGTGCAGGACAGGGTTGGACTGACAACTCATGGGGACCCCAGGCAATAGGGGATCATGGGGCCCCTGTGTCCTTGCCCACACTCAAACCACACCCAAAAAAAGCCTATGAAAGGCACCATGGGCATCTCATGGGGCCCCTACTAACCCTAGTACCCCAATGGTCAGTCCAACCCTGGTGCAGGACCCTTTTCTTGTCTGCATTACAATTGGATCGCATGTGTGTGAACACCCATGGGATCCGATTCTGCACATCGCACTGCAATTTGTGAACGTTGTGTCGTTAACTTAAAATACACCCACAACTATTCGTATGAATGGGGTATGATTATGATGCGGTGCGTAAATCGCACAGAAACTGGTGCGAATTCCAGACCCGGGCTAAAGAGGTCATATTTGCCTCTATTATTCTTATCACCAACGGCTGTATTTTGTGTTTTGCAGCCAAGTGCCTGAAATTAAAAATGTTTGCATATAACAATTACCTGAATTGGAAATAGCAAGGAAAGTGTTGCACAGCTTTCATGAATTTCATGCAGGACTTTCTGATACGGCCATAAGGCTAGAAAAGTGTGGTAAATGCTTTTATTGAATCGCCCTCCGTGCTTTTTATCTATAGGGGCCCATTTCACTTTCCACATTTTTGGAGGATTTCACTGTGATAAATCTGTCTTGGAGCTGGAACACATTCTAAGCTTTGCCTGTGTGGTTAACAAATGATTGATAGTTTGATTAATTATCAGAAAAAAAAAACAACAACATGAAAACATGTTTCACACATTCAAGAGCTTGAAGCAACTAGAAATGTTCACAATCAACAGCTAGCCTAGTCACTGGGATAAGCTTTGCATATGGCATAGATGAATGAAGACAGAGCTGTCATTTGTCACCCAGAAGATACAATTATGGAATATTGTTTATTTAGAAGGATTGACTTCTGAATCAATGTGGTGGACTGTGGTCACCTGAAGAAATAGCACACTGTGTCCTTTAAAGAGTAATCCATGGCGGGTTGCTTTTCAGAAAGCAGTGCAAGCATGGCTGATAGGCATTCAGGAGGTGATACTGCTGCCTTGTGAATATCCTCTTTTGTTTTTTTTTACATCTGAATGAGCCTTTTGAGAATACACACTGCAACTGCGAACCTAGCATTTGGCTCAGGGTTGCTGTATCTCCCCATTCACTCGAATATGTCACGTGGTACTGCCCTCCAAATGCAAGAGGATAGATCATTTTTGCCCTGCCAGAAAACATTGCAGCAGCAGCAGCATGTATACACCCCTGTCTATCTGACTTTACAGCTTGAGAGGGGTTGGTAAAAACATGGCTCAACTGTCTATATTTATGCCCCTGTCCCACCGAAACGCAAGTGCACACTAAGCTTAAAGGTTTTATACTACTTTATGATAATCACACAAAATAGCAACTTAAAGTGTTACTAAACCTAGGACCCTGCATTCACTATATCTGGTCTCCCACAGTACACAGAACATGGACATGCAATTATATTAGTAAATATAATCTGCTAAATACCTTTTCTTATCAGCAGTTAGAGCAGTCTTGGGACTTCAGTTGAGCACTGGTTAAAGCTTGTAGGAGTAGTAGTAGCGTTCTTTCTGCTCCAGGAGGATGCAGAACCCCTGACCTCTGTCTGGACAGTGCTGATTGGCCCTGTGCTGATCGCATGCACTCTCCCAAGAAAAAAAAAAAAATCTCTAGCAATACACACCAAACTGAGCATGTGCAGAAGGACTACGGGTTCTGTCTGTCTTATCAGCGTGGACATTTGATCAACAGGAGGGGCAGAGAAACCAGGATCAAACAGCCTTTTTACACAATCTAGAGGATTAATCGTTTAAGTTCCACAGTGAGTGTAACACGCATGCTTTACAGCATATACAGACTGATTTTACTGTTGTGGGTTTTGTAACACTTTAATGTTTTGTCTAGAATTCAGCTGGTGGAAATGCTGACACTTGTAGAACCAGAGCAGCTTCATACCAGTCTTCTACTGCTGAGATACAGATCTAGGTCAAGAACATCTGAATTCACACGATAGTGTTTCAAAAATTCTGAATTCATTAAGGTTTAATAATCATTTTGCTAGAAACACTATACCATCTCCAACAGTGATATTGTCAGTCCAGGGCCCCCTGGTGCCCAGGCCTAGCTGCTAATATGGGCAGGACATTCTGGTTGCCTAGGGACTTTTTACAGTCATCGCGGTGACCTGGATTTGTTCAACCTTTATTTAACCAATCAGAGCAGATAACCAAGTTCTTAAAGCAGCACTAAACCCAAACACAAAATGTAATATATTGCAACCTACCAGTTCTAAAAAAGGGATGGATACTTATTTTCTAAGTATTTTGTCCTTAATTTTCACCTGTTGATCTTGCCAGTAAGTCTGTTATTTTTTAACAGACCAAGCTATCCAGTACAAATGACAGTTAGAGGGTGGAGACAAACCATTTAATACTGACAGGGGTGCTTACAATGGTAAACTCTTATTCATTTATATAAAACCATTATCCTAAAAGGGAAAAAAAACTGCTGGAGTTTGGCTTTAATATGTTAGCCAAGTCCATTCAAATCTGCTAGAACATTGAACACTACCTTCTCCCCAGATTGACATTGAGATGCTGCTGTCCTAAGGTGTCTCCATTGCTCCTCCATCCAGAGTGCAGACACTCTAAGACAAGAGAGTGTGTTACTAGCCGGATTACTAGGTGAAAATAAAGGGTAAAAAGCCTTAAAAAGAAAACAAATGCAGCCACCTCATTTATGGCTTGGAAAGCCTTAAAATATTTACAGGCAATATTTTTAAAGAACACTTGTAGCCATACAAATCCCACGCTTAGTGCAAAAAAAAACAAACCAAATGTGAATGGGAAGCAGTCTGTATCAAACTGCCTTAAGAAGACATATACAAACCATAAAATATATATGCAGTGCTATCCTTTTAACAATATGATTCTCATATGAAATCCAATATCATAGTTCTTGTATATTAAATCAAATCACCATGGGAATACATGTATAGTGAATATAATCACATACATGTAATACATTAACCAAATAGATCTATTCAAATGTGCATAAGAAGTGAACAAGATCATTTTCTACAAAACAATTCCATGCTGTTGCTCCATCACCATGACAAACTCTTACCAAAGAAAATAGACATAACAACCTCTGATGATGTCACTTATGACCAAACTCGTTGGGTGGAGCATAGCACACTGACTTCATCACATCCATGTTTTTGAAGCTTGTAGTTCTTCATTTCTTGTGAGATTTACTCTTATTTTAAATTAAACTGGTTGTGTTTACTTCCATTATTATTATTATTATTATTGTACAGGATTTATATAGCGCCAACAGTTTGTGCAGCGCTTTACAAAATAAAGGTAGACATTACAGTTACAATACAATTTGGTACAAGAGGAAACAGAGGGCCCTGCTCATTAGAGCTTACAACGTAGGAGATCTGGAGTTATTTTCTCCTTGCATGTACAATAGATGGCAATACACATTGTGGGTTGATTTACTAAAACTGGATCTAAAATCTAAATGAATAAGATCTAGTGCAGCTCAATAAATAAATAAATGTTCAAAAAAAGAAGTACAGCCAAAGCTCGTTTGTACTTCTCCTGTGGATGACAGGAGTGCATTTCGTTCTGCATTCTTGTGACCCATTTTCAGCCGAAAGCGGGTTAATATCCGCTGTCAGCTGACGTCACTCAGCCGGCCCAGGCTGGGGAAAGATCCCGACTTTAACGTCGGCATCCACCCAGATGTCTGGAGTGGCATCTGGCTCAGCCTCTCAGTGAGCCGCTGAGAGCCTGAGCCAGCCACTCTCCACTCCCTCCACAGCTCAGAGCTCCAGTGACCTCTGGGGGGGCAGAGCTGACAGCGGTTACTGACAGTCATCACTCTTTGCTCAGAGTGGGGGGAGAACTGAATGATCAGTGGTGTCTGATTGCTCAGTTCTCACCCTTAGAGCCATAGGGGCGGACAGGTGCAGCTTCGGATAGGTGCTGCATCCACCTAGGTAAATATGATTTAAAGAAAAAAAAAATGCTCATCTTTAAGGCTTTGACAATGAAATATGGAAGCTGATTGGTTTCTATGCAGAGCATCACCAAATTGCACGCTCTCCAGTTTTAGTAAATCAACCCCAGAATGTGATATGATGGGGTGGACATTGGCCAGTAAATACAGGGCATTGTCGATGTGATGGTCATCCACATAGAGCACTAAGTGACCTCTTTTCATCTGGGGGTCTACTCTCTTTCATACGTGTTTACCTTTGTTGCGGTAGTGGGGCAATAGCATGCAAGAATTTATTTTGTAGAGGATTATCTTCTCCACCAATTCATTTCTTATGAACTTTTGAATAGGAGTATTTATCTAATAAAATGTATGTATATTATTATATTCACTATGTGTATTTATGCTGATTTGATTTATAAGAACTATGATATTGGGTTTCACATAGGAATCACATTTGTAAATGAATTGTGCTGCATATACAGTATATTGTATAATATTTTTAAAGAACTATAGGTATAGTAACATAGACATTATGCAGCCTTGTGCAGCCTGTGTTCTTGTATTTTAGCAGAAAGAGGAAACTATGAAGGTAAATATACATCATTGTGACAATCTAAGATAATAGATAGTAAAGTATTTGAAATGAGGACAAATGAAATATTTGAACACCCCTTTGGTCTCGTTCTTGCATGACACAGTTTACATTGCCCTATTTGCTTTTCTTGGGATTATCTGTATAAAATATTTAATGTATGAGCAAAGTAGTGTTTGGATATCACGATGACCAAGCCATTCCGAAGTCCTGTTCCCAGCTGTCTATTTTCCTGCCTGAAAATACAATTCAAGTAGAAATCCCATTAATTCCTATTCCGCTAGTTCATATCTAGGCCCTGCAGCTTTCTAGGATTTTAAAACATAGGAAATGCTGCATTTTGATGCACTTGCACACAACTGGTAAATGCAACTTTCTTGCAGCTTTCTATTTTTGTAAACACATTTGAACGGCAGAGGACCCTATTCTGAATGCTTCTGCCTTACTTTAAATAAACAATTATTAAAAAATAATACATATACACTGCTCAAAAAAAATTAAAGGAACACTTTTTAATCAGAATATAGTATCAAGTCAGTTAAACTCCTGGGATATTGATCTGGTCAGTTAAGTAGCAGAGGGGATTGTTAATCAGTTTCAGCTGCTTTGGTGTTAATGAAATTAACAACAGGTGCACTAGATGGGCAACAATGAGACGACCCCCAAAACAAGAATGGTTTTACAGGTGGAGGCCACTGACATTTTTTTTCTCTACTCATCTTTTCTGACTGTTTTTCACTAGTTTTGCATTTGGCTAGGGTCAGTGTCACTACTGGCAGCATGAGGCGATACCTGGACCCTACAGAGGTTGCACAGGCATTCTAACTCCTACTCCTTCGATATGTGCTATTGCCAGAAGGTTTACTGTGTCTCCCAGCACAGTCTCAAGAGCATGGAGGAGATTTCAAGAGACAGGCAGTTACTATGGGAGAGCTGGACAGGGCCACAGAAGGTCCTTAACCCAACAGCAGGACCGGTATCTGCTCCTTTGTACAAGGAGGAACAGGATAAGCACTGCCAGAGCCCTACAAAATGACCTCCAGCAGGCCACTGGTGTGAATGTCTCTGACCAAACAATCAGAAACATACTTCATGATGGTGGCCTGAGGGCCTGACGTGCTCTATTGGGCCCTGTGCTCACTGCTCGGCAACATAGAGCTCAATTGGCCTTTGCCATTGAACACCAGAATAGGCAGGTCCTCCACTGGCGCCCTGTGCTTTTCACAGATGAGATCAGGTTCACCCTGAGCACATGTGACAGACATGAAAGGGTTTGAAGAACCTGTGGAGAATGCTGCCTGTAACATTGTTCAGCATGACCGTTTTGGTGGTGGGACAGTGATGGTCTGGGGAGGCGAGGGGCGGACTGACCATTTGGAAACCGAGAGCCCAGGGTCAGTAGGGGGGCCCCATGAGATGCCCCTGGTACCTTTTTCAGAAGCTTTTTTGAGTTTGGGCAAGGACACAGGGGCCCCATGATCCCCTATTGCCCGGGGGCACCATGAGTTGTCAGTCCACCCCTGGGGGAGGCATATCCATGAAGGCATGGAGGGACGCGGAGACCTCTACAGGCTAGAAAATGGCACCCTGACTGCCATTAGGTATCGGGATGAAAATCCTTATACCCATTGCCTTGGTGCAGTGGGTCCTGGGTTCCTCCTGGTGTACGACAATGCCCGGCCTCATGTGGTTCGAGTATGCAGGCAGTTCCTGGAGGATGAAGGAGTTGATACCATTGAATGGCCCACACGCTCACCTTACCTAAATCTAATAGAACACCTCTGGGATATCATGTTTCGGTCCATCCAATGCCACCAGGTTGCACCTCAGACTGTCCAGGAGCTCAGTGATGCCCTGGCCCAGATCTGGAAGGAAATACCCCAGGACACCATCCGTCGTCTCATTAGGAGCATGCCCCGACGTTGTCAGGCATGCATACAAGCACATGTGGGCCATACAAACCACTGAGTACCATTTTGAGTTGCTGCAATGAAATTTCAGCAATATGGAATAGCCTGGTGCATCATTTTTTTCACTTTGTTTTTCGGGGTGAATTCAGTCCTCTGGAGGTTGATAATTTCCTAACACATTACCAAGTCTATGTCAGTATAGATATCCAGCATGATATTTTTCCTCATTGAGATCGGATGTGTTTTCAAAGTGTTCCTTTAATTTTTTTGAGCAATGTATATTTTATACTATAATACATGCACATTTGTTCTGTAAAACAGTGCAAAGAACCAATTACTAAACGGAAAGGGCAGTACACACAACAGAAA